CTATACGTAGTATTTACATCATACGACTCGTACTGATTCAGAAAAAAGATCAACCGTTCAATTTCTTTTCGTACCAAAGCTCACTTTGTAGAGTTTTAAACTAGAAAGCTACTTATAGAGCTTTGTATGTCGAACTACGCTAAGACATTCACAGTTAGTATCCCCTTAAGCGAAACAGTTAGTTAGGAGGTAATTCTGACGTCGCTTGCTCGTTGTCTGCTCTCGCAGTGCAAATATAATCTCAACAAACTTAAATAATGATAATGGTTTGGGTGGTTTGTGTAAAATTAAACTATGAACTAGGAATAATTATACTGTATATAGTTTTTTCCATCATTCTCAATCTGTTCGCAAAAACTTTCGTTAAATATTTTCGTTGAGATTTTAAACTATAAAAATGACTCGCTTGGTAACAAATTCAAAGCGTATTACAAATTGTAAGAGTACAATTAATTATGAAAGAGAGTATTAATTCAAGGAAAATTTTTAACGCAATATATTTTATCAAGCCTTGTTACTTTCAAAGGCCATTAATTTATTTTTGATTTTTTTATTTTTATTTGTTTATTTATTAGTGTTTTTTTACAAAGCAATACAAAAGAAAAATTTATGGTTTTGAAACTGAAATTAAAGACCAAACTTTAACCTGATAAAAATCCCCAATAAAGGGTTTTTAAAGACTAATATTATGTTAGCATCCAAGCATTTTTATCACTGAGGTTTTCTGAATGTACCTCCCAAAATTTTACATGAGAAAATCGTTCACAGACAAAATCGTTCTATATTTATATACCTATATCAATATTTATCTGCTTTACGTTTCAATAAACCCAAAGACACGCTGGCATCATAAATTACTGGCCCGTAAATATGATTCTCCGCTCTGGTAAAAGTAAAATGATAAACTAAAATACGTTTCAAATTTTGAAAAAATCTCTTTTCAACTATCCAAAGGTAGGGGAATTGTGATATATTCAAACGCATTTCAATTATTTTATAGTGAAGTTGACATAACTGACCAATTTACCAATTAAATCCACAAGTCCATATAATCACGGATAACTGTGAGTCCAGTGATGCAGAAGCAATTTCGTCGTCTGCTGTGAAATTGATTGCTTATCTAATCAGCTGGGTGGTTGTTTTATTGCCATTGGTTTGGATAATTACTCAGATATATTACTTCATCAAGTTGGCTAAACCAATACATTTTTTAGGAGCAACTTAATTTGTTATACAGTACAAACTATTACTTAAAATAAAGAGGTTAATTTCGTTCAGAAAAGTCCTTTCTCGCTCGCAAGACCGTGCAGTATCAGTTTTCTGGATAGGTAGATGATCAACTTAACCAATCCTTTATTTGTTACTATAACGTGATTAACACATTGGCAAATTATTTTATGGAAGCAATCTGGCCTAATCACATGGATACAATGCAACAGCGCAATCTACTAAGTCAAAGTGTCCGCTTTAAGCTCTCAAGATCCTAACTCAAAATTAATCTCATGATAGAGCTTTGAATGTCAAACTCTCTACATTGAAATCACATTGATCCAACCCCTAGTTTCTTGCAGACATAAGCCAGTCTTCTTATGGGAATAGTTCAATATGTTAGTTAATATGTTAATTAACATAGGTGAGCTAGTATGATAGTAAGTATTTCAAAAATGTATAGCCTCCATAATATAAAATATGAGCATTGAATAAGATGTCAATTAAAAATCCAAAACTATATTTTGGTACCTTTTTATAAGTGTTTGAAATTACTATCATACTAGACGATAGATAGTAAAAAAATAAAAAAATGTATAAACAAAAATGTACTTAGTTTTGGACTAAAATATTTTAGAAGACTTTCATCCGATAAAATATCACACAGTGTATTATTTTATCAACATTATCATAAATACCAACATTCTAATTATTTGATACTCTACTGTACACTATTAAATTAAGACATTTTTTCTTTTACTTGTGGTATCTTATACGTTATAGTAAATTGTAAGTGATGTAAAGCTTCAACAACTCAGATATTGATGACCGTTAACTGTTGATGAGACCGCTGTGATCTATACAGTCAGCTGATTGAATGGTTGTTAATTACCAAAGTCAAACACTGAGCCTACTTAATTGAATTCCGATTGTCTGGACAAAATAACAAAAGTACATCGTTGTTATCAACTACAATGGACATAGTGATTGAAATTTATGAATAACAATTACGTTTTATCCTTAATTGTTTAAAATTGATAAGTAACGATATTTGACACCTCTCTTGTAAACGTTTCTTTTAAAATGAAAACAAAGCAATCAAAACATACATTGATGATATCTTCAATGTGTCATGACAATATTATTCCAGGTTTTAGTTGAAATAACACTTGATGAAAAAAAAATAATTTTGTGTATGATATATAAGAAATAACTCCAAATTTGACCTTATTTTTAGCATTGACGTGATTAGAAAGATTAGAAAGAGATTAAACATAATTATGTGATTTCGTGTTTTCGTTCGATTAATTTATCTTTCCATTTATCATTCCCATACACTTTTATATTAAAAGTGTGGATTAAGTATACACTTAAATATAATTTGTCTGAACTTATAGCTAGTCAGGGTGCGCATATTTTTCTTGTTTTGCACCAAAGCCTTGATATTTTACAACAATATATGATACTTTTGATATATATTTGATATATGATATTCTTATGATATATTCTTATGATATATTTATGATATTGAAATATATTTGATATATGATATTTGACTTTCATGAAATTTTTATATTCCAATAAAATGTTTTTAATGCAAAATTACCTGAAAGTAGAAAATGCTGATCAAAAAGTGATTTAATGCTAAATTAAAACATCTTTGCCACCAAGATTTATTTTCGAATATGTAATAGGTTACGTACCTAGTCCGTCTTCAGTCTTAAGTTAGTCTAGGAATGACTATTTTCGGGTTAAAGACCCATTAACAAATCCTTGTCATCAGTTTGGAGTTGGTCATAAATTCAACAGAAGGCTTCATCAATATGTAAACACAGTTCACCACCTAACGTTCCCAATTAAAAACACAATTTAGATAAATTTAAAAGATGATAGACCGCCCACATTGACAGATGGAACAAACCGACACAGGTTACACAACGGACACGACAGAACTACAGAACTTGGTGTTCTGTTGGATTTATGACTAACTCCAATTTGATGTTGACAAGGATTTTATAATGGGTCTCTGAACCGAAACTAGTCATCCCTTGACTAATTTAAGACGGAAGACGGACTAAGGTACGTAAACAGTTATATATTCTCAATTAAAAAGCTTAACGAAGCTACTTCAAAGTTAATTCTCGATTTTCTCTTTATTTCGACTTATGGCACCATTTACCGTAGTTACGGTACGTTATGTATGTATGGTTGATAGCGATGAGTTAGATAGCGATTCAAGATATATTTTTAATGAAAAAGTACCGCTTAGTCTAGTATAAAGGTGCTTGTTTGATGAACGGTTGATGATGTTTAATTAAATAAATCGTTGCTTGTCTTACGAATTGTCTCAGTTAAATGCTGTATGCACATTTTGTTTAACATTTTTTGTATTTTAGCAACCCCTTAAGACGAGTTAAAGTTAGTTTCAAATATACCTTGCTGCTTCATATACATAAACAAACCCAGTGATTACTCCAGGAGGATAATGTTCTGCACACAAGATTGCACGTCCCTATAATCCCCCTTGACGAGGTCTGGGTGTCTAAAATGTAAAGGGATTAACCCTTAAACCCGTGACAGCCAACCAGGCTTACTGTGTTTGTTACGTGTGTAAAAGATTAGGCCTAACTGTGGTAATCTAGGACAAAATAACAATTATTTATAATTTAACGGGTCTATGTGCCTTTAAACATCTAAAGTAAATGTTTTCTAATGAAATTACATATGCCAAATCCCTACACTTGTCTTTTTCTAATAGAAAAATAACCTGCTCATTTTATGACTCTACTAAATAAAGACCTAAGAGAAATAAGAGCAGGTTGTGAAAACTTAGGTGTCAGAATGTTCCATGAAATAACTCTTTGTAAGTATATAGATGACTTTTTCTTGAAATTTAGTTATATTATAAGTGCAGGATCACGTCATTGCAGACAATAATTATTAATCTTTTCTGCCTCATTGAGATATTTAAGATATCTTTGGATTCATCAACCTTAACCTAAGAAATGGTTTTAGTCAGCGACAATGTGCCTCTAGAATATAATTTATAGAAGAAAGTTTTAAGGAATGGTAAAAACAATAAGACCTTGTTTTTTTCGGGAAATTAAAACAGAAAGAATTAACAGTTCATCAACTGCAATAGAATAACTTAAATTGACCGATAACCGTATAAAAGATTTCATTAATCAACAACACCCAACTCATAACAACAACATAACAACGTTATTAATATTTATGAATCGAGGGAATTATCAAATATATTATTCCTTAGATCATTCAAGTGCATTTTTCATAGCTTTAGTTTTGTTCAATTATTAATATTACGGTTTTACAAATCTAAAAAGTCATTTTAGTTGATTGTTCGACTAAATACTGTAAAATAACATTATATCAATTTTCATTGTAGAAGCATAAAAAAATAATGTTTCTAATTTTAAAAACTACAGCTGAAATAAACCAAGAAGATAGGAACAAAAAAAACTTTTACTAAAAGAAATATTTGGTTTTCAAGAGTACGTAAAACTTCGTTACCTATTTTTAAATTTAAAATACTCAAAGTTCCCTTGCTGGCAATAATTGGCTCATCAAAAGGCTCCTCACTACTCTTCCCATGAAGTTCCCTTTACTATTTTAAACACAACAATCAAAAGATATAACACATGATTAATACGTGAATGTTCTTCTATTTAAAAACTGTTTAGACTAACCCTGATTTGTAAGATAAATGCAACACTAAAACTACACAGTAAAAGGTTTGAATGACAACACGTTTCATACAATATATAGTTTATTTCATTTGTCATAACATCAATAGGAATGCGGTGGTGCGAGTGTAGTATCAAAAACATGTACAAGATGGCGCCTTCAGTCAGAGATCGTTATCGGCTAGTATTTATCGAATGAGCAAAATACCTAAGTTACACACTCCTGTTATAGTTTAGTTTATCAGCTGTGTGCAGCTATATTACTATCGTACAATTATGATTACATTGGGGTTTAGAGTGTTCGTAATAGCGATCTCGTTGCACTTAAGTTTAGTTACCTTTATGTTAACATAAACAATTAAAACAATGAAAATTGATAATCAATAAGGGATGTATTTTCCGTCTGTGAAATCATATGCTGAGTTTGATCAATATTAATTTTGTCGTATAAACACATTAGTGTATTATTTGAAGCATGTTTCACAACTGATAATGGTGTATGAAGGGATATGGTTTTTAATTCATTACTATAAATGAGTAATACATTCGTTGCTATGATATAAGTCTGCAAATGTAGCAATCAACTAAACAATTTCCATATGAAAATAAATAATTATATGTTTATGGAAAATAAGGAATTACCTTTGTGAAACTAATAGTGTTTTAAATAGGTGTCAAGCTGATGAATTAACTCGATTCATCAGAATAAGCATATATTAAAACATGATTTGTCATCAAAATGTAAATTGTTTTTTATAAAATATAAGTCTAAGATCTTAATCCTTATCCTTAAAGAATAGTTCTAGTTGGAATACACTATGTAATTTAATAATATTGCTTTCTTGATAGTATAAAATTTATAATCGTAATAAGTTTATGCTTCACAATAATTATTTTTTATCAAATTTACCAAACAAAAAATACAATAAAATATAACATTTAAACACTTAATGTAGAATGAGAAAACAATTACCAATTTGTTTCACAATTTGTTGCTTAAAGTAATTTAATAATTATAATATATTATTAAATATTGCTTCACAGCAGGGAAACCTGTGTCAAAACACATTGGGTTTATTACATATTTCCTACTAAAGATTATTTATTCACATTGCTGATATGATAACAATAGACAATAAAAACAAGAAAGTGATTGTTAGAGCTATTAAAGCAATTGAATATTATTTCGCCGCAAAGACGTTTTAAAATGACGTGTTTGCTACCACTAATATATGTTTTACAACAGTGTTCGTCAAAATGACAGCTTTATAGAAGATTTATATTTGAAAACATTTATATTTATTTTCTGTACATAAAGAACTTCACAATATTACAATATAAGTAAATAATTATTAATTATTTACAATCAAATGAATAAATATTTTTTTTTACCTTAACGTCAACAATCCATATTAATTATGATTTTTGTTCGCGACGGTTTTTACAAACTTGTGGCCACTAGGAAAAATCATTATTCACGTTTGCCTATTTTAGGATTCTAATAGTTTACATTTTGTTTTTTGTGTGACTATTAGTAATTTGACAACAGACCAAAACACGAAGACATTGAACTAGTTTAAATAAATGTTCCAATCTTATTTTGTTGGCGTAATCATGACAAAAGCGATTTGAAGCATAGTAAGTTACCGTAAATCTTGTTGACGTTCAAGTATATAAATCATGAGTTATTGGTACTCACGATCCTGAAACAATCAAAATAATAACTTGATATATCTAAATTGCACATTTTAAGGGTGTGATATATCTTAATCTAAATGAGGTACACTGAATGTAATTCGGATGGTCGAGTAGAACGTGCAAGGTTTACACACTAGTCGAAGAGTGCTAGCAATGGATGAAGATGGACACATTTAGCACAACATTTAGTACACCCATTGGTTTATTGATACAATACATTTAGTTGGTCCAGAGAATCCGTTTGATAGTTTAAAATGTAATTAAACGAATTGTTAAAGATTCGATGTGCCATTTATCATTTTTAAGACGTATTTACAAAATTATATTCAGGGTTTATTAGTAATGGAATAAACTCATGTATGATCTATACATAACAGATACGTAAAGGAAAGTAACAGCTGGGTCGCTGATGATGAGGTTAGTTGAGGATAAGGTTGGCACCAGTGAGGATGGTGTCTTCTCGTAGACCTGGAAGTGCTGTGAGTGGCCTCCTAGACAAAAACATGAATGATTTACATTTTTTAAGTTAAAACGTTTCCTTTCATCCCTTACACATCTAAAAAAAAAATATCTCATCTGTAACACTGAAGAGTGCTACATTGTAGAGGGAAGGATTACTTTCATTATAATTGTGGAACTTGCTGATTTTTAATGTTCGTTGCTCAATAATATCCTCAGCTCACCTATTTTATCAATAGTCCACATGGAGAACTTATTATGGTTTTTATCAGTGCTTACTGGTCCATAATTCCAGGATAACTTTTTAAATTTCATAAATAAAAAGCATCTAAAAACTTTGTTTATAAACTAATAACACTTATTTGATATCAAAACAATGATTCTGATAAACTAGATCTTAGTATTTGTCAAACACTATATTCACCCCATTACCCATCTATAATGCTAGTAATTAAAGTTAATGTGTAAATGGTCCTTAAAACAAATACATTTGGTTCGTAAGGGTAGTTTTATGATGTACTCACACACTAGCGATGTGGGCCAGTGGCTGGTAGGGGGCAGACAGTAACTCCTTGGCCTGCGCTGCCCTTGCCCTGGCCAGGATGGAGAGGACCGTCCTTTTGGTCGGGGACATTGCCACCCTGGTGCTGGCTCCTGGCAGTAGAGGTCTCTTGCGACCTCCCGTGCTCGCCGTACCTGCTGCCAACAGAGGAACAATATCTGTTAGACGTTTGGAGTCAGGGATTTTTTATTTTTATGGAGAAATGTAATGTTTCAGGGTTAATGTGTTTGGATTTTATAGATGCTATTGTGACTAGGCCAATGGTCTTTGTTCAGACTATCGGGATAGGTGAGTTAAAGTTTGTGACCTCTATTTTTCTCCTGTCACACAGCATATATATTTAAAAGGTGGTAAACCTAACAATTCAATCTAAGCTTTTCCATATTTTCTTGTTCTATAAAAAGGTTATTAATGCAGTACGATATCGGAATTAGATTTTAAATAGGTCATGTTTATATGGTTGAACTGATTTACTAAAGAAAACATTTTGCATAAGAAAGAATTGCAAGAATTATTATTAATTCTTGCAATTCGTTCTCATCCATTTCTCTTCTTCTTTATTTGTAAATGAGCCTTTTTATGTTACATTCTCTACTGACTTACCCTCCATGGGCCTTTTGAGAATAAAAACACAATAATTAAATGAAAAAAAAAACCTAAGTACCTGCAGTTACTTAATATTAAATTCAATATAAAAATAAGCAAAGCCTAATGTACGATGAATTACAACTTTCATATCACCGAAGAGCTACAAAAATACAAAGTGCCCTCTAATATATACAATCATAATTTGATTACATTTATCAACCAACCCATCAATGCTATTTCAATTATATCAAAGTTTGATTGACAAATGTAGTGCATGTAGCAGAGGAGGTTCCAACTGTTTAGGCTATTGTAGGGTTGGCCAGTACCAGAGTTTGTGGTGGGCTTGGTGACTCCCCGTAGTGCAGGGTTGGGAGGTGGTGACGCTGACTGATCCTCTGGAGACATACTGCCCTGCGACGACCCTGTGCTGTCTCCCTGCGTGTCGTTCCCGTCACTCGTCTGGTCTGACTTGCCTGTGTTGAGGATCTGCATCTCCCACATCTGCTCTTGCCTGATCTCGTCGTTGTAGTCCTGAAAACACAAAAGTTAAATTAGTTAAAAACAAATCTTTATCAGAGCAAGATTATTCTTGTGTATGATTGAAAAGTTGAGACTTGTATACTGGGAGTTGACTTCCACAAGGGCCTGTAAGAATTGAAATAATACTCTGCATAGAACGTAAGCGAAGCAAGGGAAATCCCATAAAATACACGGATAGATTGCATTTATAAAGTGGTGGCCGACACCTAGCCACTTCCTACATTTGTTTCGCTGTCCTTTACACAACTGACTAAGCCATTGACTCACCTAATATTATAATAGAGGGTATTTCCAGGAAAACATTGATTGTGTTCAATATTTACTGGTATATTTTAATAAGGAGAATGGCCCAATCATACGTGTTTTATGAAAATACCTTAAAAAGAAATTTACATATAGGATCAAAGATTTACTGAATGATAACAGACTCTCACCAAAACTGACATAGGCATTGTTTAAATGATAAATACGTGAGTCTGGTTCGGTTTGCTTTCTCTGGCTCTCATGGCAACACGCAATGTAGAGAATGTTTCACAATAATTAATATCACCCAAAATCAAGCAATGATCTATGGTAAGAGCCGTAGGTTTTTAATTTATCATCACTTTATCGTTACTATTTATGCGTGAGCTGCAATCATAAGCCTACCTATGGCTGGCTAACATTATATATATAGTTACTATTATTTAAATTAATTTATAAATGCCTGGATTTTCTATGGAAAATCTTTAAAAATTTGTATCTATTAGCTGTGCACCAAATATTTCAATAGTGTCACATGTTCTTGTCAATCTTCGAAAATATCTTGCTACTCACCGGAACTAGGAACCTCCTGACCTCTGCCAGAGCGTAGGCGATGCGGGCGTGTGCCTCAGCCGGAGGGGCGAAGGCTGTGACCTCCACGTGAAGTTCATCTGACAGGTGGGAGAACTTAGGGTCTCCAGAATTACGGAGCTCCTCTTCCTAAAGATAAAATTAGTCTATAACAAGGTTTTTGGTTATTAAAGTTATTTCTAAATTATTAACAAAGCAGCATTCATATAGGAAGAGAACATGCAATAGTTTTTACGTACAGTAGGGTCACAAAGTATTGGACATTAATTATATTAAAACGTTTGTAGGTAATTTACAAGAAATATTGGTTTAAGTGACCTTTAATCTTTAATAAATGCCTACAAGTATCCGTGTCGAAAAGGATATGAATTGTTGTCACGTATTTAAACAAACATTTAACTTATTATTATTATTATTTCAATCTATAGTTAGATCAATTACTTGATTTAAAAAAATCATAAGTTAGTTTATAAGTACATCTCTAAGAGGAAACAAGAACAAGTGGGAAGGTTTAGAATAGCCTCGTTAACAACAAAGTGAAGATGAGACAATAGGTAGAGTGTTGTCGCAGACAATGTACTTCATACAATGTTTGTAGGCTTCTATGTTTCACTTGGCTGCCTCATCTGTTACACATGTTTGACACTAAATATACACAACTGTGAATGCTTTGTCAAAGATGTGTAAACGAATGGTATTTATTACACCTGAACATTTAAATTTTGAACTACCATAAGCGAACGAACATTAACTCTCTAAAGAGTTGAATTTTATCACATTTAAGCTATTTAAGTTATTTTAAGTTTGTTTAAGTGGTTTTATTTAAGTTATTTAAGCTATCTTCTTTTGTTATATTTAAATTTATCTATCGCAGTTTTTTTTTCTTTTACCCTCTAACTGCATTAAGATTTTTGATTTATATTTAACATAGATTTTCTCTGTTTACATTCCGATAAAGCCATTAGTTTAATTCTTCACAACAACCAACACATAAACCAAGGCATATTTATTAAAATAAGTACGATTTAACGTACTTATTTAAAGTCAGCATTTTGAGTAAGTATTTTAACCAATTGAGGTTTTATTCTACAATGATAGGAGTAAACTATTTTAACGGTAGATTTTAAGAACCATATATTTCTCTTCTACCTTGACGCCATAGTAAGTCACAAGTAAAACTACTGCATTTAATTATCAACAATTGAACATATATGAACATTTATACAATCTACGTCGATCATCAAATTTATATAAATGTATTTCTCTTTCAAAAACCTGATAATTCCTGTTGATTCCACTAATTTTACTAATAAAAGTTCCCATTTTTTATAAGAAAATATAAAGTAAGTTTTGATTAAATCACAATCTGTAAGTAAACATAAACAATTCAACAAGTAAACAAAAGAATAATTTGAACACATGTTAGAAATAAAATGTAAATAAAACATATGTTAACACCTCCTCCTCTATTTACTGTGCTGAGGCACTCTGCGAAGAATCAGCTGATCAACATGTCTTCTAATTATTCGCCTATCTTCCAGCTGAACTACGTACATTACATGTCCTTGCTTTTCAGTTATATAGCCTGAGTACCACTTGGATGATCCATTGACATATTCCCGCGCTTGAACCTTATCTCCAACTTTTAAATTCCTTTTTATACCGACTTGGAGTCCCTTGTTCTGAAATTTGTTCGGTTCTAATGTTGGAACAATTATTGCGAGGTTTGTTCGTACACTCCTTCCAAACATTAGGTGGTATGCTGATGTACCAGTTGAATTCGGGGATTGCCTGAGTTGCATTACAAGTCTTTGGATTTTATTTTGCAGTGTACCCTTTTCTTCCTCCATTGATTTTAACGCCTTCTTGACAGTCTGCACGTATCTTTCAGCCTGGCCGTTTGAGTTTGGGTGATATGGTGCCGTTGTTCTGTGAACAATCCCACATTCATTCATGAAGTTTTTGAACTCTTGGGAAACAAACTGTCTTCCATTATCTGAAACTAAGATTTGAGGAAACCCAAAAGTTGAAAAGATTTTCCGTAATTCTTGGACTGTCCATGTACTTGTAGTTGTTCTTGTCTGTATCACCTCCACCCACTTACTAAAAGCATCCACTAATATGAGGTACTGTTGGCCATCTGTTGGTCCTAAGAAATCGATGTGCACTCTCTCCCATGGATTAGTAGGTTGTTCCCATGGATGGATAGTTTTTCTCGGGTTGTTGCATTGTTCTAAGCATTGTCGACATTCAGCTACCATCTGTTCAATATCCTTGTCTATACTTTTCCACCAGCAAAAACTGCGAGCTAAAGCCTTCATTTTTATTTCTCCTAAATGAGCTACGTGTAATTCTCGAAGCACGTGAGGTTTGAGGGATTGAGGTATCATGACTCTCCAGCCCTTCAGTACACAATCATCTTGAATGGACAGCTCGTTATCGTGAAATCCATATTGTTCGACAGATTGTCCTGATTTTAAGGCCTGTAGGACTGGACCCAACACAGAATCGTTGATAGTTTCCTTAGCCACCACGGTACTGTTGACATTAAGTGTTTCTAGTTGGTTTATGTGGTACTTAGAGAGGTCATCTATTGCATTTTCTTGTACAACTTCGGTAGGGAAACGTGAGAGATAATCTGCATTACTATGATGAGCAGTTTGCCTGTATTCTATGTCATAGTTGAACCCGGAGAGAAAGTGAGCATAGTTGAATATTCGTGTTGCTGAGATTGTTGGTAAGGTCTTTGCTGGATTAAAAATTGAGACTAGCGGTTTGTGGTCTGTAATCAAAGTAAACTTGCGGCCATAACAAAATGGGAAAAACTTTTTCAGGCCCCAATATATTCCCAAGGCTTCCTTGTCGATTTGAGAGTATTTTTGTTCTGATTTTGTTAAAGATCGAGAGGCGAAGGCAATTGGTCTGTCCGTTCCATTGCTATAGCGGTGAGACAGAACGGCTCCCACACCTTCCGGTGAAGCATCAGTAGCTAAGACCAGAGGTAAGCTAGGATCAAAGTGAACCAAAACGTCGTCACTTGTGATAATTTCCTTAATCTTCTGAAAACTCTTTTCACAAGATGAAATCCAATTGAAAGGATTTCCTTTTCGTATTAGTAGGTTCATCGGATGTAGTAGTGTTGCCAAATTCTTTATGAATTTGTTGTAATAATTTGCTAGGCCCAGGAAAGTTCGGAGTTCAGAAACGTTTTCTGGTCTTTTACATTTCAGAATGCTCTGTATCTTGGTATCTGACTTATGTAGCCCTTTGCTCACATGATCACATGACCTAAATACTCAATTTTCGTCTGGAAAAACTTGCATTTGTCTCTATTTAGCCTCAAATCGTTTGTCTTCAGTCGTTCGAACACCTGTTTCAGTCGGCGAAGAAGCTGTTCCCGGTTAGATCCTTGGATAATGACATCATCGAAGAAACATTGTACACCTTCTAAGCCATGTAATGTTTTGTCCATGAATCTCTGCCATAACAAGGGTGCCACTTTTACTCCAAACATTAATCGGTTCACCTTAAACAGCCCTTTATGAGTACTGATTGTTTGCATTATGGCACTGTTTTCGTCCATCTCCAGGTGCAAGTATGCATTACTGATATCAAGAGTACAAAATATCTTTCCACAATGCATCTTTGACATGATATCGTCGATCCGAGGTATAGGGTAGTGTTCGTCTTTGATGACTTTGTTCAATGTCACCTTGTAATCAGCGCATATTCTGACTGAACCATTTGGTTTGACGACCGGAACAATTGGTGTGCCCCAATCAGATGATTCGACTTGTGTGATTATACCCAAAGTTTCCACTCGTTCAAGTTCTTTCTCTACTTTTTCTTTTAATGCATATGGCATGTGTCTAGGTTTGATGTAAATTGGCTGGGTTTCGTCTTTTACATTAAAATGACCCTTTTCTTTTGGTATTTTCCCAATGCCTTCTTTGAAAATGTCTTCGTTTCGAATCATCAAATCATCTAGTTCTTGAATGTTTTCATTTTTTTCACTTGAATCTAATGAATGTATGTCAGCTGCATCAAGCTGAATCTCTCTTATCCATTCTCTTCCGAATATAGAGTCTACACACTTGTTTACAATGTACAGTTTTCCAACAAAACTTTGATCTTTGTACTGAACATCTACAAAAACAACTCCTCTTGGATTGATTATTTCTCCAGTGCATACACTGGAGAATTATCCAAAAAGGATTTTCAAAACAAATGTTCAACTCAGGACATATCCCGGGGATTGCCTGAGTTGCATTACAAGTCTTTGGATTTTATTTTGCAGTGTACCCTTTTCTTCCTCCATTGATTTTAACGCCTTCTTGACAGTCTGCACGTATCTTTCAGCCTGGCCGTTTGAGTTTGGGTGATATGGTGCCGTTGTTCTGTGAACAATCCCACATTCATTCATGAAGTTTTTGAACTCTTGGGAAACAAACTGTCTTCCATTATCTGAAACTAAGATTTGAGGAAACCCAAAAGTTGAAAAGATTTTCCGTAATTCTTGGACTGTCCATGTACTTGTAGTTGTTCTTGTCTGTATCACCTCCACCCACTTACTAAAAGCATCCACTAATATGAGGTACTGTTGGCCATCTGTTGGTCCTAAGAAATCGATGTGCACTCTCTCCCATGGATTAGTAGGTTGTTCCCATGGATGGATAGTTTTTCTCGGGTTGTTGCATTGTTCTAAGCATTGTCGACATTCAGCTACCATCTGTTCAATATCCTTGTCTATACTTTTCCACCAGCAAAAACTGCGAGCTAAAGCCTTCATTTTTATTTCTCCTAAATGAGCTACGTGTAATTCTCGAAGCACGTGAGGTTTGAGGGATTGAGGTATCATGACTCTCCAGCCCTTCAGTACACAATCATCTTGAATGGACAGCTCGTTATCGTGAAATCCATATTGTTCGACAGATTGTCCTGATTTTAAGGCCTGTAGGACTGGACCCAACACAGAATCGTTGATAGTTTCCTTAGCCACCACGGTACTGTTGACATTAAGTGTTTCTAGTTGGTTTATGTGGTACTTAGAGAGGTCATCTATTGCATTTTCTTGTACAACTTCGGTAGGGAAACGTGAGAGATAATCTGCATTACTATGATGAGCAGTTTGCCTGTATTCTATGTCATAGTTGAACCCGGAGAGAAAGTGAGCATAGTTGAATATTCGTGTTGCTGAGATTGTTGGTAAGGTCTTTGCTGGATTAAAAATTGAGACTAGCGGTTTGTGGTCTGTAATCAAAGTAAACTTGCGGCCATAACAAAATGGGAAAAACTTTTTCAGGCCCCAATATATTCCCAAGGCTTCCTTGTCGATTTGAGAGTATTTTTGTTCTGATTTTGTTAAAGATCGAGAGGCGAAGGCAATTGGTCTGTCCGTTCCATTGCTATAGCGGTGAGACAGAACGGCTCCCACACCTACCGGTGAAGCATCAGTAGCTAAGACCAGAGGTAAGCTAGGATCAAAGTGAACCAAAACGTCGTCACTTGTGATAATTTCCTTAATCTTCTGAAAACTCTTTTCACAAGATGAAATCCAATTGAAAGGATTTCCTTTTCGTATTAGTAGGTTCATCGGATGTAGTAGTGTTGCCAAATTCTTTATGAATTTGTTGTAATAATTTGCTAGGCCCAGGAAAGTTCGGAGTTCAGAAACGTTTTCTGGTCTTTTACATTTCAGAATGCTCTGTATCTTGGTATCTGACTTATGTAGCCCTTTGCTCACATGATCACATGACCTAAATACTCAATTTTCGTCTGGAAAAACTTGCATTTGTCTCTATTTAGCCTCAAATCGTTTGTCTTCAGTCGTTCGAACACCTGTTTCAGTCGGCGAAGAAGCTGTTCCCGGTTAGATCCTTGGATAATGACATCATCGAAGAAACATTGTACACCTTCTAAGCCATGTAATGTTTTGTCCATGAATCTCTGCCATAACAAGGGTGCCACTTTTACTCCAAACATTAATCGGTTCACCTTAAACAGCCCTTTATGAGTACTGATTGTTTGCATTATGGCACTGTTTTCGTCCATCTCCAGGTGCAAGTATGCATTACTGATATCAAGAGTACAAAATATCTTTCCACAATGCATCTTTGACATGATATCGTCGATCCGAGGTATAGGGTAGTGTTCGTCTTTGATGACTTTGTTCAATGTCACCTTGTAATCAGCGCATATTCTGACTGAACCATTTGGTTTGACGACCGGAACAATTGGTGTGCCCCAATCAGATGATTCGACTTGTGTGATTATACCCAAAGTTTCCACTCGTTCAAGTTCTTTCTCTACTTTTTCTTTTAATGCATATGGCATGTGTCTAGGTTTGATGTAAATTGGCTGGGTTTCGTCTTTTACATTAAAATGACCCTTTTCTTTTGGTATTTTCCCAATGCCTTCTTTGAAAATGTCTTCGTTTCGAATCATCAAATCATCTAGTTCTTGAATGTTTTCATTTTTTTCACTTGAATCTAATGAATGTATGTCAGCTGCATCAAGCTGAATCTCTCTTATCCATTCTCTTCCGAATATAGAGTCTACACACTTGTTTACAATGTACAGTTTTCCAACAAAACTTTGATCTTTGTACTGAACATCTACAAAAACAACTCCTCTTGGATTGATTATTTCTCCAGTGCATACACTGGAGAATTATCCAAAAAGGATTTTCAAAACAAATGTTCAACTCAGGACATATCCTGAGTTGAACATTTGTTTTGAAAATCCTTTTTGGAGAATTTAAAAGTTTAAATGTATCATATGATACAATGCTGAGAGCCGCTCCTGTATCTAATTCCATTGTCATGAGTCGTCCTTCCACTTTTACCTCAAGCATAAACTTGTCATTTGATTTTGAATGAAGTTGGTAAATTTCATGAGTGTCATCACTTGTATTTTCTACGGTTTCATCTGATTGTTTTACTTCTTTGTTTGGTTTCCTTAAGCACACTCTTGCTAAGTGACCAAAACGTTTACACGAGTTGCATTCTGCATTTTTGAACTTACATTGATGAGCTCTATGTGAATCATCACCACATCTATAGCATTTGTTCCTCAGTTTCTCAAAACGAGATTGATAATCAGAGAGTTGTATATGATTAGATTTACTTGACTTACTATTCAGGTGTTTGTTCTTGCTCGATACTTGGTGTACTTCCTCTCGATTTTCATTTGTCTTAACTATTCTGCTCTCACTTTTCGCTAGTTCCAATGTAGCTGCATTCTCGACTACTTTTTTAAACGGTTGCAATATTTTATCTCGAAGAAGATGAAGACGTATATCAGAGTCTCTTAGTCCCCTGACAAACTGCATTCGAAGTAGAATTTCAGATACGGATTCATTACAATGTGTACAAGTAAACTGGCATTCAACACTGAGCTTTCGAAGAGCATTTGCGTAAGCTTGTACAGATTCATTACATAGTTGAGTACGTGTTGTGAATTTGTGCTGACGAGCCCAAATACTGGGTTTTGGTTCTAGTTGAGCCATCAACAGATGAATCAATTCCTCATATGGCTTGTTATGTGGATCATCTGGTATGCAAAGATCATAGAGCTGTTCGTGTATTTGTGGGGTAATTGATTGTAAAAATAAATCCACTTTGACCTTTGGACTTAAGTTTCCCCGTAATTTTGTGTAGTTTTCAAAGCGCCGAGTGAAGTTTTGAAAACTTTCCTCTTGTGTATATGGCTGGAAAGGAATATTAGATACATGTTGAGATATTATAGAGGCAGACATTGCAGTTTGTGTATTGTACTTTTTCTTTTCTGCTTCAAGGAATGTTCGTATCTCTCTATGTATTTCTTCTAACTGCCATCGAATTTCTAATTCATTTTCTACTGAATTCGTGTGAAGTTCAATATTTGACTGTGTAGCATCGAGTTCAGTCCATATTGCTGAAAGTTTATCGGTATAGTAAGTGCATGTATCTTGAGAATGTTCACATGTATGTAAATCATCCTTGAGTTTGTTCAAGCGTAGTTCTAGCAATTTCCTTTTCTTGAGATACAAATCCATTTCCTTTCTACTTACCATTTTACTCGTCGCCATTGTTGATTCCACTAATTTTACTAATAAAAGTTCACATTTTGTATAAGAAAATATAAAGTAAGTTTTTATTAAATCACAATCTGTAAGTAAACATAAAGAATTCAACATGTAAACAAAAGAATAATTTGAACACATGTTAGAAATAAAATGTAAATAAAACATATGTTAACAATTCCTTTTATAATTATCTCATACAGGTTTATACCATTCATTGTACTTTTTGTTCACACCTAATATAATTTTGACCTTAGTAAATTTCAAATACCAATCATTTTACTAATAATAAATTCACTCTAAACTTACTTTGTGTCTATCTCTCATGGACCCTCGTCCTAGGATTGCCATTTTGGTCATTGTGTCTTCTTGAAGCCTCTTTAGAGAATTTCCCTTTGGTCCAAGTAACTTTCCCACAAAGTTAAACTGTAATAAAAAATCAATTCTGTAAAATATATGACGGTAAGAAATGCATGCATTTTTATGACTATGTGAACAAAAACACGTTTTTCTACTTGTTAAATCTAATTTTCGAATTTGTTTGTAGCCAAATAAAAGTAAATTAAAGCCAAGTAGCCCTTTTGCGGAACAATATATGAAACGGATGGTTTCAAAACTTCTTTAAAAATGTATGTTCTTAGATTGACTTAACTTCCAATAGTTATGAATATTTTAGTAAATATAAAGTATTTAGATAATTCTGATTGTATTGAAAACATGAATTCAGCCTCCTAACAATTGATGAGTGAAATTATTGATCAAATCATAAAAAATTTTCAAAGATTGTTATGATTCGAATAAATAAACATGAACAATATCTAATTTAAATAAAACATTATTACAAAATCATCAGATAATTTAATACATTACTCGAGATTCGTATTTTGTTGAAACTCCAAAATGTTACCTATTATTAGACTTTCATATAATTCAACTAAATATAAACGATTTACTGTAAACAATGTTAAACAAATAATGAAGAACAAATAAAATAACTGTTGTTGTGGTGAGCAACTGAACTCGCAGACTGAATGTTTCAATGATTACGTTTTTGTTTCCCATTACCAAGGGACTAGAATTTTCAGCAGCGGAGAGCGAGTGTTATAAACTAGTTTCAGACTTTCCTCGAAATCTCTTTAGAAAACTCGTTTAAGAGTTCATTTCATTCAAATTATTATTTATAGTTTAATAACTCCACTGAAATTTGTTGGGATAAACTTATGCAAGTTTTTGCAACATTCATAGTTTTTAAAAACTAGTCAGTTATCATTTTTGTAATTTTTTTAACATTTAGAATATATTTTTTTACTAGGCAAAGATTCCTCAATTTGTTATCCTCAAAGACTTCTCCTATTGTCATTATAAATTAAAAAAAAAAAAAAAAAAACTGCTCTTTACAGTTACTATAGATTTATTCAACCATTTATTTTTATTAAAATTTAGTTTGACATTTAGTAGGAGGTATGATGTTACGTTGCCCGTCAAATTTCCCACCAGTCATCGTCTTGGCTGATCTGAACTGTTCAGAATGACAATGGCGATCTTATTTAAATGCTTTAGTCCGTCTTTGAATTATGTACCACTTGACGGTGGTTTCAAACTTAATTACTTTAGGCTGTGGTTTCCTAGACGCGTATTAGATGCGCTGCGTGTGCGCATCTAAGACGCAGCACACTTGTCTTATGGAGTTTCGTGTAAGCGGTTTCCAAGGCTGCGTATCTAATGCGCGCGCATCTAATACGCGCGCACCAATAGCTGCGTATTTGACCGACTGCTTTCGGAGCAGTCGAATCTGAGTTACGCTGCGTTTTAGACATGTCTTATGCAATGGATTCGGAAGTAAATGTTGTACAGAAGGCAAAATTCTCACACGACAAAAAATTGGTTAAATTTGGTTTCCTAATGACATATTATGGAAATAATTTTTCATACAATTAAAATTGTATAGTATTATATTTCATATCATTCGTTATGTAGTGTTAATTTCCCCATAATGTGTGATTTTAATAGTTGATTCTCTTGTTACATGTTCCCTACAATTAATTTGAGCTCACATATTTTCTTATTGTTGCTATTAGTAAATAAACCTACCATTGATAAATATTCATTTCAAATCAGTACAACACCAACTCCCAAATATTAGAGCCCCCATAATTATTTTAAGAACTCTTGAACATCTTAGTAATAACTCTATATTAATTACTAGCATAGTAGCCTACCCAAACTTCTTACGGGGTTGGCGTATAAGTATAAAATGATTATTGCAGTTATACTTCTAAAAGGTATTTTCATCGATTTGGTAAATCCCGAATAGGTAAATATAATAACAGTAAAAGCAAAGTTGGACAGGGTAAATTAAGATTTATTGTTTACATCAAATAGACATGTTTGCCTTAACACTACAGTTAAAAGATGCGTGAGGGCCACGTACAGTTCCTAACATATACTTTTCACTGCTTACGCTTCTTCAAAGCTGTTAATGCCAAAATATCCATGTCATTATCTAAATCATCGTACAACATCATAGTAGCCACTAGTAATCTCTCCCATGAACTTATGTTACGCACCAACCGTGTGTATTGTACGCAGTCTAGGAAACCACTCACGTCGGCTGCGTTTTGGGACCTGGATAAAAGACGCAGCGCATCTAAACCGCTGCGCATCTATTACGCGTCTAGGAAACCACAGCCTTATATGATTATTTTTTAATGTACTAATAGTTTATTTTAACTTTGTACAATCAATAACCAACCATCGTTTAAAATTATCTTCCTTCCTTTATCTTAATATTACAGTACTTCAATTTGTTTTTAGTTTTTTACAATTGTCAGGTTTTTATTTGCCATCATATTTACAGTGAACGTTTTCATATACGTCTTGTTACTTGACATTTATGTTATATTTAAAATAAGAGGACCTTAAATCAACTTCAAAACGTTATAACTTGTATTCTAAACAAATAAAAATCATTATGGTTTATCCCTTAGACACAAATAAATTATGTCGAGTCAAAAGCTGAATTCACTCCATAAAATTGGACAATTTTATTACAACACCTCAACCTCCTGTTTAGAATTATTATTCTAAACGAACAAGAGTATTCTCTTGTTTGTTGCGCTTGTTCTAGACACTGATGAATTCAACAATACTGTTTTCAGACAATACCCAAATAGTTTTGTTTATTTTATCCCTACTCAAGCATATTCCTTCTAAATAGAAAGAATATGCTTAAGTAGGGATAAAATAAACAAAACTATTTGGGTTAACAATAGCAGATGAAAGCAGATTCCATAATATAACTTTATTTACAACAATGCCAGATGAAAAACTATAGTTTGGATAGTATTTTCGAAAAAAAAACAGACCGATTAGTGAAACAGGGGCAACGGCAGTAGTGGTACTAAGATACTATCGTCAGCAGAGTCTGTCTTCACACACTGACCTTGGGATGATCCCTGACAGGGACGACGACTCTGATGGTGACCTTGATGGGCTTATCACGTGTGATGTCCACCATCTTCCTCTGAGGCAGCTCCGCCATCCCTCGCAGACGTCCGCCATTCATAGTGTGATCTGAAACATCAAGAAACGAGGGTTGTGAATAGTGTTGATTATAAATCATTCAAGTAGTTTGTAAGGAAAATATATGTAACTGGCAGGACAAATTTGAGTTTGTAAGGGTACTGAAAAGAATGTCTTCTGTAGAGGAACCAACAAGAGCTTTTTTGAATACAGTATATAAAACATAACAAATTCAAAACCCTGCCAGACACGAAATTCTGATTAAAGAGAGAATGTATGTTAATTTGATTGTTCACGTAACCAATCTATAAGTTCCTTCATAAAACCTTAACAAAGCAAGTCCTACTAAAACTAATGATGCCTAACATTCATATCATACTGAAGTAGCATAATGTTCGCCTAGTAATAAAGAGATCCTGATTAAAGCAGTATGTTTGTGATAGCTTGAAACTGTTCCAGACTTTTTTTGAGACTTGACAAAATGTGTCACTAATAAATAAACAGTTTGTCTTAGTCAATAACAAGTTACTCTATTTAATAACAATTAGATTACAACACGGAACTTTAGTCACTATCTTAATTCAATAATAATAAAACCACTTTGAACACATTTTGAGTAATTTTTTACAGGTTTTCTATAACTATTAAGTAGTAAGCAAATTAAAATAGTAGCACTGTATACATTTTTTTCTATTAAATCTGTGAACATATCTGTGTTAGATGCGATATAAGTTTAAAATAACTTGTAACGCTTTATCTTCCCTATAATTCTGGTTGTAAGGGAAGGTTGTATTACACAGGTGGTCCATAACTCATCTGACCCCAACCTTACATTCAGCTGTTGCTCCGTAGAAGCATGGCTGCCCTAAACGTAACCCTCATAAGTAAAGGATTTATCAATTTATAACAAGAAATCTATCCCCATCACTTTTGTCACTTCTTCATTGGCGTATTTTGATCTGAATATGAATGTAGGTCGAGTATAAAATATAATGGAGAATCTGTTTAGCTTTGCAAATAGCTAAGATCAGCCAATATTGGGGCATTTGGGTCCAGCTTCGAACCAATAATATGCTACTTCTCAGAAACACCGCTGGTTTTGTATCATAAAGTGATTGTTTTCTCCCTCACAAAGTAATGTATGGATATAATGTGATTACTCATCTGATTATTTGGATTATAAAGGGCAGTAATGATTCAATTATTCTAGGCTGACGCCTATGGCCGTTTACTGTATACAAACTGAATATATTAGTTTCATGATCAACCGAATACCCTGAAACAAACGTTGTAGCGAGCAATGTCCGAATTGTTTGATACATTAAAATATTATTTAAGTTAATATTCTTGTAGTATTAATCGAACATATTTGACACTATTGTTCGTAATATTGTTGGTGGATATTATTCGTGATAATATAATTTTACACTTCACAGTGTGATTGTGTTGAGTGTTCGGTCCCAGAACATAAATCCGTCCTTGTATGTTAGTAGTTCCGTTAGTAGTAATTATGTTAGGAATGTTGGTACTATTTGGGTTATGTGTGTTTATGTATTGAAAGGAGGATGTCCAAACCCTGGTCATGTTATTTAACGTCAACCTTTTTGTTGGATAGCAATAGTAATTCATAGCCCCATGACAAATAGCATCTGGGTCTAGAAACAGCTTCGCTTGGGATGGAACCAGCGACCTTAGAAGGTGAGTGCTATTATCTCTAGGCTTACTAAACAATTGGTACTAACCCATCCTACCTGGTTTGCTATACGTCTGTGTGTTGACACTTGATCTGTCATTTAGCATATCGTCTTCTTCTTCCTCTGCCATTCCCACAATGTCCATGTCAGACATTTCTGATACCTGTAAAAGTACATAAATTAAAACAATTACCTGGAAAAGCCCTGTCCGTCCATGGGTTGGCTATGGTAAATGTATGTCTTAAAAGTTTATGATTCCTTATTTTTTTGTGTTAAATCCTTTTTTTGAAAGCAACACTTTAGAATCATGAAATCCTTATGTAACATGTGTACTCTCTATTGAAACGCATCATTATTTGTTTTACCAAATTGTATTATATTTATGTTTAAAAACAACTATAGTACAGGAGAAGTGCAAAGTTTTTAAAAAGAATTCAACCAAGTAGTGGATAAAGTAGTTTTACAAGGTCAATTAAAAACCAAAATACCCTCTTGTACATAATATCATTACGGGACGAAATATATTTTGGGTTACCAGTAAAATATTGAATGTACAATATTTGATGTATTTCTAGAAATATAGAAAATATGTTTTTGAATTATAAGAGATAGCTTGGGGAGTGATGATATATGAGCATACTCTTGAACAGTTGGCATATGTTTTACTCCATTTAGTTATCTTTTAAACAATATGAAACAGATATAATAATATTTGTTATGCAACTATTCTAAATAGGTCAAAGACAATGTAGTATTCATTAGTGGTATTTTGTAGTATTCATCATAAGGTGAGAGAATTAAACTTCATATAAATTGTATTTTAGCAAACTATAATTGGGTTCTAGGGATAACATGTTTTGGAACTATTCAATTTCGTATGTTTATCGAAAGAATTACAGATTATTTTGTGCTGGTAAACTTAGATTGGATTTATCAACTTGTATTTTACGCTCCTGTGATACAAACCTATCTATGTTTGTTGTGCCACACCAAACTTATCCTATCATCGCATTATGGTAATGCAAGAACAACTTTGAAGATCGGCAACGTCAAACTAACTTTGTCAACATATGTTTATGTTATTCCTCATGTGGGTGTCTCTTTTGCCGTTGAAATAACAAATAATATTATCAACCTTGTTTACAAAGTTAAGTACGAAATTTGGAGTGATTGTAAGGATCAATTTAACCACCAATGCAAAAAAGTCATTTTCAATTAAGAAGAACAATTATAAAGTTATAATCTTTCAAATATAATACGTAGTTTTTAACTATGTTGTTTCCTCGAAGTTTTCTTTGATTAAATTTGTGACACTAAATCTTGGGTGAATATTAATGTAAGAACAAACTAAATTGTTGTAAGTCTTTCCAATTCTCATCATTGAATATATATATATATATATATATATATACTTTTGTGCCCGCCCGGTTTGGCAGTCAGTGCGCTGGTAATTTACTCGGTGTGGCAGTCACCCGCCCGAAAGCCAGTCAGCTCTCCCATAAGCCAGTCAGGTATGGCTTCCCGTGCACTTTATACGTATGAAAACAGCAAACTGGTGCTGCTGCCTGTGTCGATAAGCGTAACTGCAATACCAATGCGGAGACTGTCTCATCGTGTGTTCTATCGTGGAGTAGTAGCCAAGTACGGCACCCTACCCTACTTTGTAGCGGTAACACCCAGCGGTCTGTAACCTTCGTTTACTCCTTGTTACTATTTGAGTTGGGATAGTGATTAACTACGTGTTAATGTTTAAACATGTTCATACTCCAAATAAATATGATGCACCTCTAATAAGGATCGTCGAATATTAATTAATTATAATTGGTTGAATCTTGATCCTACCCGTTCATCATCTCATATTTTAAGTTATTTTAATTTTTTTTTACCTTCAGTTTAAATTTTCGTCAACTTCTCCTTTATACAATATTTTATATCCTAGTACAATATTTACAGTGTTTCCACGGACCGGGAACTATACGGATTTTCTTTATCTCGAGAAATATACGTGAATCTTGTCCGAGATACGGGAACTGTTTTTTTACGCAATTGCGTAACGCGAAGGAGTAACTATTACATATGACAACGATATTATTCTATCTGATAAGAATAACCATGAAACTACACTCGAAAGATAAAAGATTTTTATAATAATTTTAATTTTACAAACAAACTATTACAGGAATTCTATTTTGGGACGGATGAATGATAAGGAAGCAAAAAAAAGTGGTCACGAGTGCAAATGCCGGGGGGGGGAGGGGGGTACAATATAACAAACGCCAGAAACGATTATTTGTTTACTTTTCAGATTCCTTATCAAATCTCTCCCCCTTCTCTCTCTCTCTCTCTCTCTCTCCCTCTCTCTCTCTCTCTCTCTCTCCCCCTCTCTCTCTCTCTCTCTCGCTCTCTCGCTCTCGCTCTCTAACGATGTACAGATTGTGGACTTAACGATTTAAGTTTTCCTGCAATTATTTCAGTTCAATCCCATACCTATCCTTATGGTTTCCTATCTATTATTTTTCAAAATAAATAGTAAAGCTGGTTAAACTATTTTTTATTTTATTTTCTTGAAACCAAACACTCTTTACCATCCGGTATTCTGCAGAGTCAAATGTTTAACACTGTGTTTATAAAAATTGAATGGCCACACAATTTCGTGTTTTATTTTTTTATGTAATAGTAACTGGGATATTTATATATACCAATAAGTGCTGCAAGCTGTAATAAATGCTTCTGATTAATATCAAAATAATTTATAATTTATTTTGTTTAATACATCGGTCATTGAATACAAACCATAATGGGTTTTCTATTTGTAACTTTAACTTGCAAATACCTCGCTTAACTGGGGTCGCATCATCATGATGCATATCTAAATACTATACAGTATATTATATAACCTCACAAATCCCCAAAAAAATGTTTTATGAACTGTGTTTTTCAGTATAATATTTTGATATGAACGATATATTTAACTATTTACGGTAATTTTTATGTGCAGTAGGTTCCCAATTATTGAAATACAGTTCATTTGACAAAAATAGGATGGAAGCAAAACGGAGAAATATCGATCAGTAGCGTCAAGGTCAAGCTATACGCTTGCACCTACAGACTGACAATCTTGCACTGACACTGACATACTAAAAATCGTCTGCTCCTGTCTGCTGTCACAACACTACAATATTTTGTGGTTGGGTCGTTGGGTGATTAGTAACCATGACAACTTGTGGATGGAGAGAAACCAAAGAAAGAATAGAACAAAGAGAAATAATAAGAGGTGTTTTACATCATTGTTATCTTTATCTTATTTTTATCATTGTTATTATTACCAGAAAGACTTAAGTACTGTACTATGGTTTTATGGTGTTTTATGAGTTATTTAATATTTTTATCCCCATACTTCTGTTCTGAAACATCATGTAGTAGTAAGCTAGGATGACTACGGTATCAGTAGTATTCTAGTCTATATTTTCTTTTGTTTTGTTCTTTACGTGATTTATTGCTGTACAGTAAGCAAGTTTTGTTTTGTTTGAGTAAGCATACGGTGTAGTTTTTATTACTGAACCAAGGTTAATGACTTAACATATCACGGTTGCGCAATACCTATTGTATTTTGACTATTTAAAATGTAAATTTACAATCACGTTAACGACCATTTATACAGAGTGTCCCGGAACAGCATTAATCCTGGGTAAGAAACATCTAAATATCATATTTATTTTTCCAGAAGTCCTTCGTTACTCACACAGCTAAAAGTTTTTTAGGCCTAAATCATTTGAAACCTGCACATTACAAATTTTCCACTGGACGACCACTAGTTAAAATTAAATTGTATTACAACAATCTTTATAGTAAGCAATGTAAGCTAGAATATGACTTATCTGCCTTCAGCTAATCCGTCATATGATAGTACGTTAGAGAGTATGCCCATGCTGAAGTTTTACTTATACTTGAAGAATGACTTAATTTAGTACCAAGAAATAAATCACACCCCTTACATACACTGTGCTGTTTTAATGCTGTGTAGTTGATTGCTACTGTATTAACCTGTGATCGCATATTAATTCCTTCATTAGGAACGTATTTGAAAAAATACTACTTTTATTTTTTTTTAATTTCTATGATTTATTTACAATAACAGAAATGTGTAAGATTAAAATAAATTAATGTGTCGCATTGTCCATTTAAAGTTACATCATAGTAAATAAAAATTCCACTGAATCTTAAACAATAAAAGCCGAAATTAGTTATAAAGAAAACACGAGTTTCCTTTATATATCTTTTAAAATCGAAATAAACATACTAAGCCACGGCTCGGTCCCCCGGTACTTTTCATTTTAAACATTCAAATGAAGTCGATTATTTTAAATGTTTTATGAAACGTGACATGGCAAATTTCCAAGGAACTTTTTTTGTCGGCTACTACTTTATTTTATTTTTTGGTCAGGTAAGTTTAAAAACAGTGGATTCTGTATACAAAAAGTAAAATGTTCTAAATCATATTTTTAATTTTTAGCTTATGTACGTAATTGAAATTGTACGAGAGGGGCTTCCCACCGTGCCGGGTTGTGCCGTGCGGGCATATTTTGATCCAGTGGCGGGTGTTTGGTGTTTTGAATAAGAATACTGAATTGCTTGTTTTCAGATCGTATCATTACAAATCCTATCATTTTAATACAAATTCCTATCATTTTTTACATCTGACATCAGTCAGAATCAGACGACATTATTGACAACGACACGACTCGATAACTGACGAAAAGAGTGATTTAGTGATAATAATTATTATAAAAAGCGTTAAAAATAAAAAATAAAATGTGTCGCTCGTTTATATTGGCAAAAGTATTAAATAAACAGTAATACTGCTGAGGATAATGTAAGAATAGTCTTTTAATTGATTAGAAACTCATTACTCTGGAAAGTTTTATAATGTAATACAAATTCTTATACATCAAACTATTTAATGAAGTGGAGCAAAGTCGAGTCGTCCTCTTTCTCTCTGTCTCTAGTTGATAAAATTGTATGTCAGGAGCTAATACACATCAGAAGTACAACAGTTACCTCGGAAAGTGCTTCAAGAGCTTTCTGCGCATGCGCAAGCTGAGGTGCCCGTGGGTACAGAACGCCGAGTTATGTTTAAAAATGTAAACAAATGACAATAATGGC